TACTGGGAGGTAATGAGTTCTGTCTATGGAGAAATACTCAAACCAATGCCTGTAATCACAGGAAAAGAAAAGGAATTAACGTGTTGTTGTGCCTCAGTGGATTTGAGGAGTCCTTCAGAGTTGATTTCAAAGTTTTTCTTTCCTGCTCCTTTGAGCAGAAAGTTTCTCTTCAACATTGTGATGTTTCCCATTTCTAATCCCTGCGCCCTGATTGTGCTGTTTGGGCTCACGTGCAGGTAAAAGCAGGTTTAAACGTAGAGCAGATGCAGCTCCTCTAATCTCTCCCTGCTCCTTTGTGAGAGATTTATGAACAGAGATGAAGCAGTCAGTCTCCATTGTGGATGCTCAATAATTTATGCCGAGACACTCTCTTATACTTATGGTGAGAGATTGGTAATTGTCTTGCCACACAGTCGTCATGCTTTCAATCATCTCTGTGCTCTGCATTATGTATGATATTAATTCATATACATCTGCATCTTATATTGTAGATTTATGGCGTATGTTTATGAACCATCCATTTAAAGCTTTGCCAGGGAGGATGATTACCTTGTTTAAAGTGGTTGAGTAGGCAGGAAGTACCGTGGGAAAACTCTCTGCTTGTTTTCTTTCTCTTTACACTCTGGGGCACGTTTCTGAAGTTTTGGTGGTAATTTTAGTAAAGATATTCTGCTAAATTAAGAAAATGTCAAGAAATGGTTTTGATCTCACAAACAGGTGAAATACAAAGTACACAGCCACCTTTATTCAGATGATGATGGACAGCTGAGAAGATAAAATCTACTATCTGGTTATCCCATTAAAGATTTAATCGCTTTGCAAATATAAATTGTGCAAAAGTCTCGTGGCACCCCTCATTTCTTTGTATTTTGCTAGAAAACTGCAAAAGGCTCAATAATGTTTTGATACATTTGCAAATAGAAAAGGAAATACAGCATATAAGATAAACACAAAGTTTGTATCGTTCTAAAGAGCTTCAGAGTCAATATTTGGTGTGACCACCTTTATTTTTCTCACATCCTGAACTCTCTTAAAAAGCTTTCTTGTAGTTTCTTGAAATTTGTCTTCGGGAACAGTTCTCCAGGCTTCTTGAAGGACATTCAAAACTCTTCTTTGGATGTTTGCTGCCTTTTGTTCTGTTCTCTTGTCGATGTTGATCATACACTGCATCAGTGCTGTTTGCATCTGGACTGTTTCACCTCTCTCCCTGACCTCCTCCGTACATAATAATGACAATTTGAACCAAACTTTTCAAATTTCAGTCTAATTCTTGTGTAATTTGGCGTAAAAGCCTTTTCTCCCCGTTTCTCTTCCTTAAGAAAGCCTTCTTGACAGGCACTCTTCCACTGAGACCGTTTCCGATAACGCTTCAGTGAACAGTAGATGGATTAACTTATGGGTCAGATGTATCTCTCAGGTCCTTTTTTAGGTATTTGCTGGATTTCTTTTTCTTATTTTTAAAGGGCATGACTTTCAGATAGTGTTCATCTGCTATAGATTGTTTTTTAGGGCTACCACATTTTCCTTTGTCCTCTACATGTCTAGTTTCACTGCACGCCATATTGAGATATGCCAAGTTATTGGCTAATAGCTCTTTGGAAATCACTTTAGTGCTGCAAAAACACTCATTAGGCCTGTCAAATTGTGTTATCTTTGGCATTTTGTTGGCATGTTTGACATACAATTCAAACCAACTCTTTGCAAAGTTGTCTGTCATGTGTAGACACAACACTAGTGTTTCCCTACAGTTAGGTGCATTTTTATGATTAAATTATTTATAGCATGTTGACATTTGCTAGCACAAGAGACAAAATATAGCCTAATCTTATAAACTGCACTCAAAAAAGAAACTTTGCCATGCAAACTGAAAAGGTAAGAGACCACCAAACTTACTGTTGATTATCTTTAGCAGTTAATCTAATGATTGCTCCAATAGTTGACTAAAAACCATAAATATAAAAACAATAGTTGTTATGCAGAAACTCCAGAGACCAAATTCAGCAAGATTCCTCTTCCAGTAGCCATAAACATTACAGTTTGTTACAGACGCTAGGACACATTTCTCAATACTTAGGTCACGTTTGCAAAGCTCCTCACACAGTGAGCACAACAGAAGTCTATGTGGGCTAAACTGAGGACCAGTTATCATTGTTTTGGCACAAAATGCATTCAATGACTGCATCTCTCAAATTTCATGAATTATCTTCTCACTCAGACACAACAACTGCCAAAAACCTTTGTACGTACAGGACATTTTGCATGTGCTTACATACTGTTTTCAAAACTGTTAAACTTATGGCCAAAACAATAACACAATGCAAAACTTAAAAAGACAGCAAAATGCAACAGCAATATTTTATGAAACATATTTTAAATCTAAACATGCAGTTTAACCAGCCACAGCTGATTCTCATTGTAGATGAACATCTGCACAGGTGTTACTGCTTCAATCTTTCAACTCCTTCAATTCTGGCAGCCAGGAGATTCTTTCCTAGGTGTGTTGCCCTCGATGACATGAGATGTGATGTGGATGAGAACCTGTGGCCAAATGGAGGAGACCGAGTAGATTAGCATTACTATTGTATGTGTATCAGTGGATGGTGTGTATACAGATTCTTGTATTTTGGGATTACTTAGTGCAAAAAAATAAAAATACATAAACAAATATTAACGAATTCTGCATGATGTCTGATTCATTCCAGTAACATATATTGAAATTATAAACAGAGATGTGTCCTTGTTTTACACAAGAAAACACTGTAATGCTACATGTTGTTAGTGTTTTTTAGGTCATTGTTTTGTGGGTGACAAAGTGTGTTTGTCGGCTGTCAACCTTTGCTAGTGTTCTGGAAGAATGAGTTTATTTGAGACCTGAATGAAGTGTTTTGGTAGTTGTCGTGCATTTTGAATGTGGAATGAACTGCTTTGCCAAGCTGACGGTCAGTTAGGAGGATTGTGTGAAGAGTTTTGCAAAAGTGACCTAAGTATTGAGACATGTGTCCTAGCGTCTGTAAAAAACTGTAAACGCAATCCCACAGTTGTTGTTGTTGTTGTCATTATTTCATAAATAAACAAACTGGTGATTTCTGACAATCAGATGGCATGGCTAAAAATGTAGTGTTATATGGAGCTCATCCCCTCAGACTACTCTATGTTAAATGATGGATGAACAGTGGCGAGAAGAGACAAAGGGGGATCATAAGTATGCCATGACTGAGAGCACAGCATGATGCTTTGTGCCTGTCACTATGACTTGAAGTCAGTTGCGACCGGGTGGAATGAGGAGGGGGGCTCACTGTAGCTTGCTGTGGATGAGAGGAAAAACATAATAATTTTGCTAAAATGTTATCATGCCTACGAGTTGGACACTCAGAATTCACCTCATCAGCTTTTTTCTTACAGTAGCTGTGTGCATGATTACGTCTGTGAGCATTTCAGTGTGTTTACTTACTAGACAGAAGCTAAGAGAGCCATAAAGAATTTAATAGCCATCTAAACAACCTACATTTGGCTGGTTGCTCATGAACCAGTTAAGTGTGCAAAATCAGCTTCTTTTGGACTCTAGTGAGACTCCACCAGGCACCACAGCATTCACTGCTCAATACATGACCCGACTGTTCCTATAAATTATGGACTCTGTGACTATAATTGACCTTTTTTTTTTTTTAATAAAAAAAAAGAACAGTTTAGTGTAAATTTCAGTTTCTTTAAGTGTGTGTTTGAGAATGGATGTTTGCTTGATTCTGTATATGTTCTCCCTGTGGAGCAGCAGCATGATGTGCTGTGTCGAGCAGTCGAGCGTTCCTAATTATAGGCGGCTGTTATGTGATGTGTTTGGGGGTATAGCTGCGTCGGAGGTGTGATGTTTATCTCTACCTCCAGGAATAGCTGTGACATCCTTTTTCAACTGGTCAAAACCTCTGAATAATGCTGCTGTTGCTGATGTAAGTTTTATCACAGTGTGCTTATATTGCCATTCAAATATCGTGCCTGCATATGTTTCAATAAATACTTGAATTCTACCAAACCTCTGGTCCAGGTTTGCCCTGTTTTGCAAGACTGAGCTTTATAGAGTGGAACATGTCACAGGGTGCCAGTTTATGTCAATGTAAGAACTACACATCTACACATGTGATGATTCATGATCGTGGACTTGGATTAGACTGACCTCGGGTCATTTTCCAGCATCAGTCCTTCCAACAGGTATTAGATGGCATTTGTGTTTGGCTGGTTGTCAAATAATAATAATGATAATAACAATAATAATGTGTTTACTACTACTACTTGTTATGTTGCCCTCAAGTTGCAAAGTGAAGCTTTAACTTATTCATGCTGCCACTTTTAGACTGGTTTTGATTACTGTCCCTTTTAGTACTATAATTATAGTAGTGCTGGAGGCACGCCTCCTTTCTTTACTCTTTGCTTCCAAGAAGCCAGACTCAAAATTTCACTAATTTGGCTGAGGTATGACAACGCCTGGACTGAATATCAGCGGCAAATTTAAATGCTTGGTTCAAATTGTTGTCGCTATGTGCAGAGTACGACACGGAGTATCTACAGCCATCTGTAAAACAGACAGGAAGCTCTGTCATGGTTTGGGACTGCATTCAGCCCGTGATGTTGTAGATCTCGTCAAAATTGATAGAATTATGAATGCAGAAAAATACCATCAGACTTGCATGCTACTCCACCATGCAGTACCATCTGGTGTCCAATTGGCAATGGCTTCATTTTGCAGTATGACAATGAGCCCAAACACACTGCCAATGCAGTAAAAGCATACCTTGATACAAAAACACACAGTGGAACACTATTGGTCACAGACTGTCCTCCCAAGACCTACATTATTGAAGCAGTGTGAGATCATGTTGGTAGAACAAAAGAAGGGAATAGAACAAAAAGCAGCCAACATATTTTCTTTCAAACTGTGTTACTCTATTTTTTGCTGGCTGTTGTAGAAAATCAATTTCATTGAAATCCTCCATCTGGCCTCCCCACAGATTGAAGACATTGTTACACGAATCCAAGATGAGAAAGCAGGAGGTGTAGCCATACGGACTGTCAAAAGCTTCCTCTCCAAGATCCCAAGTGTGGTATCAGGTTAGTATTTGTGTGCAAAGGTGTGTGTGTGTGTGTGTGTGTGTGTGTGTGTGTGTTTGTGTGTGTGTGTGTGTGTGTATCCACATAGACACCCAACTAATGGAGCAAGTGGAAAAATATTATGGTTTTGCTACACTGCATTTTTTTGGTGATTGATTATAGGGAAAAGCTAAACCCTTGATGCTTACAGGTTAGTGCTGGCTCTGCTATACTGTGTGTGTGTGTGTGTGCACGCGCCTGTTTAGACATCTTTGTGGGGACCAACAGTCACTTATGAGGACAAAGGTGCCTGTCCTCATGAGTTTAAAGGCATTTTTGAGACTCAAAATTTGGTTTTAGTGTCAGGGTTATAATTAGGTTATGGTTAGGTTTAGGATAAGGGTCAGGGTTAGGCACTCATTTTTGATGGTTAGAGTTAGGGTAAGCGGCTAGGGAAAGCATTATGTCAATTAGATGTCCTCACTAAGATTTTAAAAGCTGAGCGCAGATGGAGAAAAACAAACCTCCAGGTTCATTATGACATCTTTAAAGAGAAACTTCACAATTATAATTTACAACTGAGGAGTGCAAGGAGGTCCTACTTCTCTGACATCATCACTAAAAACAGCCATAATGCTCGGGTCTTATTTTCTACAGTTGACAGGCTAACAAACCCTCCTGTGTCAGTGGCAGCTGAACTTCAACCATGGCCTGCAATGACTTTGCCAAATTCTTCACAGAAAAATCCAAAAATTAGACAAGCATTGGTACATCAACAGCAGATCCAGGATATGTACTGTGTCCACCAAAAAACTGTTTAAACACCATGAAACAGTTTCAACCTATTAACAGCAAAGACCTGGAGGACATCTTAGGTCAACTGAACTCCTCCTCCTGCTGTTTAGATGTCCTGCCAACAAGTTTTTTCAAAAAGGTCTCAAAGACTTTAGAGTCAGACCTGTTACAGATCGTCAACTTTTCTTTATTATCAGGTGTGTTTCCAGAATCACTAAAAACTGCTGTAATCAAACCTATACTGAAAAAGGACAATCTTGACAAGACACAAATGAACAACTACAGGCCGATCTCAAATCTCCCATTTTTAAGTAAGATCATTGAAAAAGCAGTTTCTCAACAGCTCAGTTACTTCTTAAAACAGAATAACTGCTACGATGCCTTCCAGTCAGGTTTTAGACAGAACACAGCACTGAAACCGCTCTGACCAAAGTGTTCAATGACATATGTCTGAATACAGACAGTGGAAAAATGTCAGTCTTAGTTTTACTGGATCTCAGTGCAGCATTTGATACAGTTGACCACAACATATTACTCAAACGACTGGAGAACTGGGCAGGTCTTTCAGGAACTGTACTAAACTGGTTCAAAACATACTTAGAAAACAGGAAATACTTTGTATCAATAGGTAACTTCACATCTGAGCAGACAAGTATCACATGTGGAGTTCCCCAAGGTTCCATCTTGGGACCCCTTCTGTTTAACATCTACATGCTCCCACTGGCACAGATTATAAAGAACAACAAAATAAACTATCACAGCTATGCAGATGACACACAAATATATATCACAATGTCACCAGGAGACCGAGGCCCTGTACAGGCTCTTGGTAAATGCATTGAGGAAATAATGACTGGTTGTGCCACAATTTTCTCCAGCTAAACAAAAACAAAACTGAGGTAATAGTCTTTGGCGCCAAAGAAAAACGATTACAGGTCACCAGAGAACTTCAATCTATACATCTAAAAACCACAAACCAGGCGAGAAATTTGGGTGTAGTGATGGATGCAGACCTAAACTTAGAAAAACACATTAAGACAATAACAAAGTCAGCTTACTATCACCTCAAGAATATTTCAAGGATAAAAGATCTGATGTCTCAACAGGACCTGGAAAAACTAGTCCATGCATTCATCTTTAGTAGGCTTGATTACTGTAACAGCATCTTTACAGGTCTACCTAAAAAATCAGTCAGACAACTACAGCTCATTCAGAACTCTGCTGCTCGAGTCCTCACTAAGACCAAAAAAGTGGACCACATCAGTCCAGCTCTGAGGTCTTTACACTGGCTGCCTGTCCGTCAGAGGATAGACTTTAAAGTTCTGATGCTGGCCTATAAAGCTCTGAATGGTTTAGGACCAAAATACATCAGTGACCTCCTGACCCAGTATGAACCTTCCAGATCCCTCAGGTCATCTGGATCCGGTCTTTTATCAGTTCCCAGAGTCAGAACCAGACACGGAGAAGCTGCATTCAGCTTTTATGCTCCTTATATCTGGAACAAACTCCCAGAAAGCCTCAGATCAGCTGAAACACTCAGTTTATTTAAATCCAGGTTGAAGACTCACCTGTTCTCAGCTGCATTTGAATAAAGCACCAAATCCACACTTTTAAGCTTAAATTTCAAAACTTACATTTAACTACTGATTTTATCTACTGTTCTGATTTTATCTGTTTTGATTTTATATACTGTTTTGTTTGTTTGTTTGTTTGTTTGTTAAGTGGGTTTAGAGCTCTGGGTAGCTCCCCAGCTGGGTCTAGACTGGGTCTAGAGAGTATTTTAAATTCAGGGAATTTAAAATAGAAAGTAGCTCGTCCACAGAAGGACTGGTAGCTCCCCTTACGATAAGGGTTCAGATCGCGCGAACAGGTGTGAAATGTGTGTGTTTAGTTAGTTAGTTTGTTTGCTTGTTTTAATCAATTTTAAATCATGCTTTTTATTTGTTTTTGTTTCTAATGTCTCTGTAAAGCACTTTGAATCACCTTGTTGTTGAATTGTGCTATACAAATAAATTTGCCTTGCCTTGCCTTAAAACGAGAATGTGTGTGTGTATGTGTGTGATCCCCATTGCTAATCAGTACAAACTTATCACAAGTGATTTATTCTATGATCAAACATAACTATCCAGCCCAACTCAGACAACAATGTCCACCACCACAAGGTTGGTGTGTGAGTCACTTTGTCAGATACCAGATGGGACACCATATTGGGGAGTTGGGAGATTTTTGGATCAACCTTTTAGTCAGTACTCTATCACAACCATTAGTGTGACACAACATGAGGGAAGAATACCGTACCATCCTTTCTGAAGAAAGAGGCTCCTAGAATCAATCTTAAGGTACGATAAAGCTGTTATTGGTGGCACATGGTGGACCAGCATCTTATTAAGACACTTTATGTTGGCTTTTCCTCTAAATTGTCCCCCCATCTATACAAAATCATAAATCAGCAACTGGAAAAAACAACAACAAGTAAACGCTTGTTAGTGCAGTCTAACTGAAAGCTGTGTCTGCACACTTTGGCTGCTGTTGACTGATTTCAGATTGTTCAGCTCAAACACAATCAGTGACTAAAAACAGAACATAGGAAAAGGTGGGCTTAGGGATTAGGGTTGGGGCATTTCAAGCAAAAGCACTCCTCCCTATCCACTTGGAAAAATTCGACTAATCTTCCAAGATTGCCCCCAGACGACTTTGCACAGACTTGCAGATTTGCCAACTTTACCTATGCTGGGCCTCATTTAGCGGACTTTGGCTTTGCTTTTTTAGAAGAGCATTAGATGCTACCATAGATTTAAGATATAAGAACAGTTGCATAAAATATTTGATATTTTTGTAATTGCAGTATTCACAAATGTCAAACATCCCTTGCAGGAACACAATGCAGACTCGCGCCCTCTCCTCTTGCGTTTTGCACATGAAGGCAGGTGTCAGAGTGAGTTTCTGTGGTCAGGGCAGAAGCAAAGTACCTGCCACTCTGAAATTTCACCTTTTTGGTTAAGTAAGATAATACAGGTTAAATGGATCTGTTTTTTTCAGCGGCTGTTTATCTGTGTGTGAGGCAGTCAGTGAAGAAAGCACGACCTTTTGGGCTCATTTAAATTGCAGCTACTACTGTTAGAGGCAGATGATGTCTTTGCCAATAAGACCTTGGCCATTGAGGAAACTGCCCGTGGTGCCGTGCTGACCTTGTAACTATCACAGAAAAGCTCCTCTCTTCTTTCTCTCTGTCTCCACAAACTGTACTCATTTTCGTTTGTACTCCTGTGTGCCCGTGTATGAAGTGAGTCACCCCTCACGGACGAGGGGGTTGCTCCCCGTCCCGAGGCTGTTTCTGAGTCACTCCTTCACATGGCTCCCCCAGGACCGACAGCCTCGCGGTTTCTCTCTCCAGCCTCTGCTATGTGTAAGACAGGGCCAAAAAACGAGCCGTCCAGGAGCGAAAAGAGAACGAACCGCACCCTGATTACTTAACGTTATATTTACACACCTATTCAGCTTTGACAGCTTTGACCCACAGCTTCAAAGGGACGTGAATCACAAAGCTTATTTGTGTTTTCCACATTGCGGCTTTTGTTGAAACTGTTGCAGAGCTGGAATTGTGACGCCTCTTCTAACCCGTGTCCTTCTGTGAATAACAGGGGCGGACATTGTTCAGTGGCTGATGAAAAACCTCTCCATAGAAGATCCAGGTAAATGTCAGTACATGTAAGCACAGCAGAGCTTCCAATCGAAGACGACGGCAGCTTCACGTGTCTGCTTTCTTTCATGTCACCAGCTGAAGCCATCCATCTGGGCAGTTTGATCGCTGCCCATGGATACGTCTTCCCCATCTCTGACCACGTTCTGACGCTTAAAGATGACGGAACCCTTTATCGCTTCCAGGTACGAAAAAAAAATCCACCTTGGGACTGTCCTTGATATGTGTTAGAAGGCCTTTAAATATAGAATAATGAGCTGATGGCAGTTTATCGGAGGGATGTGTTTATTGCGTGATACTAATGAGAGCAATCCCTCCTAAGCCTATTACTCATCCCACCAAGGTCGAGACTGTGTACCCCTGCTGGATGCTTCATCAGAGCAGGAGGTGGCCTGTAGAACTGGGCCGATGGGTCAGTAATGCAGCTTGTCAGTCTGGTGGTTTTGTTTTTTTTCCTTTGCTCCTTCTTCTTCTTATACAGCACGAACACTGACAGATCTGTCTGATGGCTACAGACTCTGCTATGACTCATTACTGTGACTGGGCCATTAGCATCTTAATCCAGCAAGCAGGCTACGCCAGGCAAGCTCCCCTATGGGAAGCGCTGAGCTGGCTACACGCTGGCTCTGCACTTTTCGCTGTTGCCAACCGTCCCTCGGCCCCTCCTCAGTCTACCGCTGGATGCATTTATCTTCACCTATTGCTCAAGATTAAAAGCCATTATTGTGGCTGTGCAGCGAGGGCAGCGAGGGCAGCGAATGCCGCGCTTCCTTATTCAGCGGAGGCTAAAAATATTCCCTCTGATGTTGTCGTGATGCAACAGGCTCGCGTCATCGGAACCTCTGAAAAGAGTCCACAGTGGATTTGAAATGCGCTGGCCAGCCTACACTGCAAGAAATAGTGTCAGGGGGAATTTTGAATTGCTAGTCTACAAAAAAAAAGAAAATTTAAATATGTGCTACACCAGAGAAGACCCAGATTTGATTATGTGCCTTCTGCTGTTTGTCACAAATTCACAGTTTTGTGCACAGAGTGGTGACTTTCGTTTGATTTGTCATAATTTCTTCCTCTCCGAATCCAAATGACACCGCTGAATGAGAGCACGTTAACTTTTCTGTTCATTACATTCAAACCAGCACATTCATCAGTGCCGGGCCTTTGCTCCCGAGCTAATTGCTTTTATGACAAATAGTGTGAATGAAAAATGTCCATGATAAGTTCTAATTTTGCCCTGTTATTAAGAGCGTATGATAGATGTGAATGATCCATTAATAATGGACTTGAGAATGAACTTTGAATGCATAATATCACTTGTAGTAGACTTTAAGATAGAGAGACTGCAGCTACCATTGCCATTGCAGATCATTACCTGGAGCGCACAGAGGTCAAAGGTCACAATCAAACAAAGAGTACTCATCCATAAAAGGGGCAGGGGTGGTGGAAGTATTTGCTGTTTTTTTACTTGATGATAAAAAAATTGATTATTTGTGTAAATAAGCAAAATCTTTTTTTTATTTATTCTTCCTGCTTTCATCAGTCTCCATACTTCTGGCCTTCAAACTGTTGGGAACCCGAGAACACAGACTATGGTGAGTCACACGCTATTCCCTGTTTCTCCATCGGTGAGATCTCCCTAATGCCCTCAGCTGTCTCATTTTCTCCACAACTGACATCTGTAGCTCTGTGGCTGACACTCACTGAGTATTGATCCATTCCCTGTAATGTATCTGGCCCCCGAGGAACCCCACCCCCGCACCCACCACCACCCCCTTCCCTCCTAACACCACCAGGAAGAATCCTGTGGGATACAATTAGCTTAACAAAATAAAGGGACAGTCACTGCTTCGACAGCATCTCTGGCTATCTGCATGGCATTTACTCGAGGTTTGGTATTTCAAAAGAGAACACATGGCCTGCCTGGCTGCTCTGGCAGGATGTGCATTAGTTCACACAGCTGCGGCCTTGGTTTAAAAAAAAAAAAAGCAAACAAAGAAATCCCACCATGCATTGCAAGTATTCTTTTTGTTGTTGTTTTATTATAGTTATGACAGTGCTTATTCCCCTCTCTATGTTTCACTCTTTGTCTTTGTCACCCTGCAGCCATTTACCTGTGCAAGCGCACGATGCAGAATAAAGCCAGGCTTGAGCTCGCTGACTACGAGGCTGTAAGTAAACTGTCGTTTTGGTTTAGCGATCGCCAGAAAGCTCCCAATTCAATTCCATCATAGTGCATGAACCATAGTATGATGATGCTGTCGATTTCCTGTTTTCCTTCACTTTGTTGAAAACCAAAAAAGTGCTGAAGCAGTCTCTTCTGGGCTTTTAAAATAACAAAATGTATTTACAAGAGGATAAGAAAAGGAAAACAAACAAACAACAAAAAAGAAGAACAACAACATCAAATTCTGAAAGGTAGATTTCTTTTCCAGGAACACCACTTTGAGGAATACAATGCAGTCATTTACCGGCCCCCAAATGTAAATAAAAATATCTTTAGGTATACCTGCATCAGCAGATCGATACAGTCTCAGGAGGGGCGTTGCTGCAGTGCTGATCTCGTTGTTACACAATAGCAATCCGCTACACTTTAATATTCTAAATGACTCTGCAACTATTGTCCAGTGGACTTCCTTTCACTCCTATTCAGGTCACTTTATGCCTTCAGGCCTCATTGCTTTCACTGATAACATGCCTGCTTCTGTAGTTTTTTTTCCGCTCTGATTTTCTAACAAGCTCACATACTGTATTAATGCTTGAATAGCTTTTTTGGAACCCAATGTTCACTTACAGGCACCAAAAAATGCAATTTCTACAGGTAAATACTGTTTATGATCATTGTTATAGTAATAAATAAACCTGAGAGATAAACAATCCACAAAAAGCACATTATCACCTCTCTTATTACCACAGGATACCTTGATTGGTTAGGACTGTAAACCCTTAACTCTAATGTTATGTTTTAGAACCAAGCAACTTAAATTTGTTTCATAAAATGTTAAAAATTATTGATGCAAGTTAATTCCCATGTATTTCAGGTCTTGAGAAAGCATCTACTGTGCCTAATTATAAAGCGCATCTAATTTTCCCACAGTTATCCCTGTGGGGAATGCGTTTAATCATTGCAGTTTACTGGAGATGAAATCAATGATGTATACTGAAACAATATACCTGTGTGAAACTCACACTACATGTGGTATCGGCATCTTGTCATAAAAGTGAAGGCATCAGAGTGAAAAATCCAAGGGCCTTGAAATCAAAGTCAAGCCCTTGAAGATAAACTCCTTAAGTCTTCCTCTTACACCGTGTCTGATTGGCTCCTCCAGGAGAACCTCGCCAGGCTGCAGAGGGCTTTCGCCAGGAAGTGGGAATTTATCTTCATGCAAGCTGAGGCTCAAGTCAAGTGAGTATATCAGTTAATTTTCTAACTTCAGCACTAATGTGACAGGATAGATGTTGATACAATCGGGTTTAGAGAATGCTGAGCTTTGGCTGCCTGCACAGTGTTTGTGTTCTTTGTAAGCCTGACACCTGGTGGCTGAAATGTGCAAGTGCAGCGATAGTCCTGCAGTTAATGGCATACAGTAGCTGTCCTTTCTTGTCTTTTAAAATAGAAAATCAAAGTCTTGGCATCATTTAGTTTTTGCTGCTCTGTGGCTGTAAACGTGAGGATATAAAAAAAAGGCTTCTTATGTCTGGAGAGTAACGACAACAAGCAAATGCCAGCTGGTAAATGTCAGTTATGTAAGAGCTAGGTCCCACCAGGCCTCTCTTGGTGAACTGAGCAGACAGGTTAAGACCTACACTCCTGAGTTTCTTTGCTCTTTTGTCTGGCCTGTCTGTGTTTTTAACGTATGCCGGCAGCAGAGAGCAAGTATGGACCTTCAGAGGGTTAATATTTCAGAGCCATGAGCGTTTTATTTTAAAGACCTGTATCCTCTGCTCTCAGGATTGACAGGAAGAAGGACAAGGCGGAGAGGAAGATCCTTGACAGCCAGGAGAGAGCATTTTGGGACGTTCATCGGCCAGTGGTGAGTAACAGCCAAAATAAGGAAAAGGAAAAGTGCAGAAAGGAAAAAGAGTGTCACATGGTTCAACTAAAAAATGGAAATGAACTCAACAAAAGAACAGAAAAGAAGGGATGTTTTGTAGGTAGACAGTTTTAGCATTTAAACACTGAAAAGAGCAGATTTAGCTCCACATGCTGTCCAGCAGATAGCCATGTTGTGTTGTTGGTAGCACAATCAGATTTGGTGCCAGTCAATTTGCATAAGAGTCTTTTGTGAGTGTGGCGTTGCTCAATAGAGCACCAGCACCGTATTGTGTGAGCAGCACAAGTGTAGACAATGCATGCTGGAGAAACAGTCTTATCTGACCCAGAAACATGCTTTGTCTGCTGCTGCCTCCCACAGCCAGGCTGTGTCAACACCACAGAGATGGACATCCGCAAGTGCCGGAGAGAGAAGAACCCACACAGGGTAAAAAAGGTGAGAGGAAGAGACAAGCTGCCACCAACCACGTTCATTTTTAAATGTAAGGTTTTTTATTAACTCTGCTGCTTAGTCATATATATATATATATATATATATATATATATATATATATATATATATATATATTAGGGGTGCAACGATACACAAAATTCACGGTTCGGTTCGATACTTTGGTGTCGCGGTTCGATATTTTTTCGATACAAAAAAATGTTCATGCCTTTTTAATTTGTCATTTATTAAAATTATAAATATATATTTTAACTCAAAAGTACAGTTTTTAAATTTAATGTTGCTGAAACAAAAGTAATTAAAAAAATAAATATATCTCAGGGCTCTCAAAATTTCAAAATCCCTGGTAGCCCTTCGGGCAGGGACTCTTCGGTTTTTGGTAGCCCAAAATAAATGTAAGTAGCCCGAATAAAAAAGAGAGCAATTTTTTGATTGCTGTTTTGTTTCCTTTACAATATTATACATTAAAGTATAATATTGTAAAGGAAACAAAACATTAATCAAAAAATTGTTGAAAAACAAATTACAACATTGTATAAAAATTACAATCATCAACTCAAATACTTGGTTCTAATTGAACAGAAATTTCTGTGAACTTGTAAGAACTGTGTAGGACATGGATCAGTCTGTGTCAGATCCTGAATTTAAAATTTCCACTGAAGTCACGGGTAAGAGGCAAGTGGAACCAAGATCGAGGCCATTTGCTTTTTGAAGTTTGCAAAGACTGCTAAATTTTGCCAGTGTTAGTTCACTCTTTGCAACATAGTGCACATAAGTGGTCCGCATGTGCACATTCGCTGTCAAAATAAAAGACGCACCAGAGCTTCTTCGACATCTTTAAAATAAATCTAAAAATATTTCCTTTTCGGTTTTGTTTCAAAGCTTACTAAGTGGTCTTTGTGTGCAGCTGTGAAAATGTCCTCTTCGACACTTTAGATCCCTTATTCCCCGACACAATACTGAGTCCTGCTCCCAAAACAATCACCAGACATACATCAAAATGGGGTTAACAACATGGCAGCGGTAACAAATTGAAACCGTGTCCCACGTGTGTCTCCACTCGCCCGCTCTAGTCAGTCTATGGAGTACCAGATGATGGCCAGAGCCAACCGAGTCCTGTCCACATCGGCTCCCAGCCGACCAGGAAGACCACCAAAGACGATGTTCAGAAGGAGGTGAGCCAGGGCGTTGTTACCGTCAGCCTGCCTCACTCATCCATCATAACATAGCCGCGGTTGGGGACGTAGACCGATGAGCCGTTCCCTTATTTAACCTCCTCATTACTCCTCCTCCCTCTCCCACAGATTACCTTCTTGAACATCCAGCTGGAGAGACACTGTATGAAAGTTTCCAAAGTGGCCGACAGTCTCATGACCTACACCGAGCAGTTCATGGAATATGACCCCTTTGTATCAGCTGTAGAGCCTTCGAACCCATGGATCAGTGACGACACTACCTTCTGGGACTTGGAGGCAAGGTGAGGCTTGAAACGGGGAAAGCATGTTGGGATGTGACCTGAGAGTGTGCCAGGAACTAATGATGCTTTAAACCCACACTAAGGTCAGGTGGAGTGTAGAGGTCTCAGTGCTAATGAACTGTTGCTATCCTGAATTAGCTGGGATCTGTCTGTTTGGATCTCATCTCACATGAACACTAACACTGGCATTCCCAAAGGTTCACTCTGTCCTGACTTGCTGGTCGTGACTCTCTGTAGGCCAAGTGACCAGACCTTCTATTCTATTCTATCCCATCTTATTCTGTTTTTTTCGGATGTGTTTCAATGTGAGCAGTCGCGAACCCACCCAGCAGCGTGTGAAGAAATGGGGCTTCTCCCTGGAGGAGGCGCTAAAGGACCCAGCAGGTCGAGACCAGTTCCTAAAGTTCCTGGAATCAGAATTCAGCTCAGAAAACCTGCGGTAAGGATCTCTATTATTTGACTTCTGTAAAGGTTTATGTTTTTTTGCAGTCTGGTATGTTGCAGTAGCATGATGCTGCTGCTATAAAATGCAGAGCTATGCTTTTTAGTGGCTAAAGAAAACAAGGCATGTGTGCTAAGAGTGAAAGAAGTCATAAAAAATGTAAAATTGACACTGTAAACACATTTTCTGGAAGTTGTTATTGACTGTGTATGACACTGTTGTAGGTTCTGGTTAGCAGTGCAGGATTTTAAGCGACGGCCACTCCATGAAGTTCCCTCCAGGGCGCAGGAGATCTGGCAGGAGTTTCTGGCTGAAGGAGCTCCAAGCTCCATCAACTTGGACTCTCACAGCTACGAGCGCACCAGCCAGAACCTCAAAGACCCCGGACGATACAGCTACGAGGACGCTCAGGTGGGGGGGGGACAGATGGACTCGCGTGGCTTTACGTGCTCACTTTTGATTTATCTTGGCGCTCTTCTTCGCCCAGATCTATTTTGAGTTCACCTCAAATTGACTTTACACTGCATCCCCAGTGACAACGCACAAACTCGTTTGCTTTCCCTCTAATCGGCTAAACTCTCCATACTCATGTTACTCAACGGAATGAATGAGGGCAAGGATGAATAAAAAGAAAGAGGAGAAGGGAGGAATGACAGAGTGTGTTTGTGTGGGGAGCTAATGAGCCGACTAATTCCATGAATAGGTGGTTGAGTCGGTTCACCGTAGATTCCTCTGCATTCAAAGTGCGTCGGTGATGTGTGACGTGCAACGCCTCTCACTGGCAGGACATTACTCAGCTCTGTCTTGCAGGACTTTGTTGCTCATGTCAGTACTCTCGGTTTGCATCACCTCTTGCATGCATTGCATTACCATAATCAGGCCTCTCTTTATTTTATTTTATTTTCTTTACCACACTTTCTCCTTTATCACTCACAGACCAACGCGCGCTTATGTGGCTTTCTTTATCTTGCAGGAGCACATATTCAAGCTAATGAAAAGTGACAGCTATGCACGCTTTTTGCGATCCAACATCTACCAAGACCTCCTGTTGGCCAGAAAGAAGGTGAGCTGCACTCGCTGACCATGATTTCGCCTCCGCATTTAACATGATGCAATCACTCTTTTTGCGTTCCTCATATTGGTTTGATTTTATTCTATCATTTAATAAACATGCCAGGTTTATAATCACTATATCAATCAAAAAGTAGATATTTTATCTATACTATATGCTGCAAGGTAAATGGAATGTAAATTACTACGTTTACATTTCAGGTTTTCTGCTTCATTATATATTAATAAAAACACACAATCATCTTTAAATAATGATGCAATGTCATATTATGCAACATTAGTGCTAACTACAAATCATTGGTCCTTATTGGTATTATATCTGTATATTGATACACTACACTGTCAAGGTTTGAAATATAATAAAAATATGTCATCTGGCCTTTACCAGGTTTTAGAATTAGACGATACAACTTCAGATAATTAACAACACATGAAATATTACACTGTGCCATTATTTTTTTAACAAAATTAAGCCAAAATGTTGAAGCAGTGAGTGAAAAACTAAGCGAACGCTTTCTGCTTCCATCGGAATTTAGAGGGTAAGTAGCAGCCAGGTTCTGCTAATCAAATATACTCGACTAACTCACCAATCTGCAAGTGCTTTGTCAGTTTCCAGGTCTGGGATGTTAAAGAATGTATTAACGCAATGCCAAGGAAGAAAGGCATCAACAGCGACCTTAGAGAAACAATTCTTGCTGCTCATCAATCTGGGAAGGGCTGTAAGGTCATTTCCAAACAATTTGGATTTCATCATAATACAGCGAGGAAGATTATTCACACGGTGAAAGCATTCGTGACAGCTGGGAATCTTCCCAGGAGTAGATTCACCTTTGCAATGCTCTGAGAAATCTCAAAAAACAAAGAAACAAAAAACATGCTCACATCTAAATGTTCAGGTTCATGGCATACAATCAGAATGAGACTGAACAAGTACGGCTTGTTTCAAAGATTTGCCAGGAGAAAGCCTATTCTCTTTAAAAAGATCATGGCAGCGTGGCATAAGTTTGCAAAGTTGCATCAGAACAAATTGCAAAACGTCCAGAACAATTTCCTTTTTACAGAAAAGGCCGAAGTGGAGATTTATGCCCCTAATGCTCAGCACCGTGCTTAGCCAAGCCAAACACACCACATCAGCACAAACAGCTCATACCAACTGTCAGGCACGGTGGTGGAGGGATGATGTAATCTTGTTCTGCAGCAACAAGACTTCGAGTCGACCATAAACTCCTTCGTATATCAGAGTATTCTGGAGACAAATGTTCATTTTTGTAAATGAAATAATGACACAGTGCAATATTTCACGTGTAACTGTTCGTCTGGTGTATATTTAATCATTTTACAACCTGTCAAGGACCAGCTGATAATTTTTATTATGCGCTCATATGTAAAACTTTAGAATTGAGGGTGTACTTTCCTTTTTTTCACATGACTTTAGGTAACGAAGTCTTTTACACATTGTGGTATTGTTGGATGTAATGATCTTCTTCCACCACTAGTCAGTAGTGTTGGGTGATATTGCACTTTTAAACATGATGTTTTGTTACTGTAGTTTCTATTAAAGATGTTACTTGATAGGGTTCTTTTATGCTTCCACACAAAACCTCTGAAAAACTTATAATCAGGCAGAATTTACATTATGATGTACTTCTTGTCCTTTTCACCCATAAAATGACAAAAAAAATTGAATACTTCCTCAATGTAAATGCTGTCCTTTCTGCTATCTTGCTAGCACATGCACACGCATACTAGTCCAGTATGCAGCTCCCTTCCAAAAGCACTAGGAGAAAAACAAAAGGAAATATGCATTTTCTTTTTTTTTATTGTTTTGCAGTAACAAAAAAATTGCAAACGATTCAGACTGTTTAAAAAAAAAAAAGAAGAAGAAGAATATATGCATGGGAAACAAACATATTCAAACAAGCAACTCAAGGTTTGGGACTTACTGAAGTATTTGGATCACATTGAAATAAAGTGGGTCATTTATTGTCACATAGCAGCATTTCACAGCTCTTAATAAGGTCTTCAAAGCACCGTAAGGCTACAAGCAGAGCCCCAAAAAGGCACAACCACTGTGCCCAAAATGCAGGTGCAAGGAAACTGCTAAATTATTTAAAATGTCAACGGAACAGTCTTGAAAGAAACATGAGATCATATGCCAAACACAGACAAACCGCTGTGTAAAAGCGGAACAACAGCCAGCCTGAAAAATAAACTTACAGAGCACAAGTATTACCGTGTTATATAAAAATTCTATGCTACTTTTGTCTGTCTCCTTCAGTGTAACCTTTAAATCTCATGTAGCTAAAATAGACACTCATTTAGCTGTTTAACTGTAATGCAGAGCTTTTCAGCAAATCACAGCTTCTCTGTTCATGCTAGCCTTTCTGCCCTTTCCCCCTTTGGACACTGCTCCTTGTGCTGGCCTGTCACTGATCCCACTCCATTCCCTAAAAATAATAAATGCAACCCCTTGCACTCTCCTTTGGCCCTCATTTTTTATTTTTTATTTTATTTTGCAATGCTTGGCCCCCCTTTTTCCCTCACTAACAACATCACTCCCAACTCCCTCGTCAACACCCATACCTGACCCAAACACTCACCCTGCTTCCCCCCCTCCAAAACAGCAGCCAGCAGACACTGAACAGGGCCGCCGCACCTCCTTGGAGAAGTTCACCCGCAGTGTGGTAAGTCATGTGGAGCTGGGGGCTGTTCATATCACAAACCACACTGGCTGGCTCACTATCAGTGGCTTGTTTGCAGTTATAACCATGTTACACTCTGTTGTGAATTTTTTTTAAACCTTTAATAGGACGTGTGTGTGTGTGTGTGTGTGTGTGTGTGTGTGTGTGTGTGTGTGTGTGTGTGTGTGTGTGTGTTTATGTCAATAAGTTAACACCCTAGTCACTTTGAATGGTCACAACCTAACACTTTTTGATCAAACCACATTGCTGGTAGAGATTCTTTGTGTTACTTTTGCTGTCGGAACCTCAGACTGGTAACGAGTTTTCGTTTTAATCTACTTTCCAGGGCAAGTCATTGACGGGAAAACGCCTGACAGGCCTGATGCAGTCATCCTGACACAGCCTGTGCTGCAGGGGCACAGCCAGACCCTGTCGGGTGGGTGGCTGCCGCACAGGGGCCGGGGCACGGGCACAGACAGTGGAGCTGGGCTGGACAGGGCTGCTGTGGAGGCTCTCAGACACTGCTCCGAGGACTGCTGCCATATTGGTATTGCAGCACTGGGCTTGCTGGGGTGAACACCCCAAATTGAAACACTGATGATGAGACAATGTCGACAAGGGGAACCTCAGCCAACACACAGCACGGCATGCAGCGTACAGTACAAGCAAATGCAGTGCAGGGCTCTTCATCACTTAGGCGGCAAACTGGTTGTGAGTCTCGATGAAGCTGATCAGTTTATTGTTTTCAGGTTGTTTTATATTAAGCGTTATTAGAAACGAAAAGAACATCTGCTAAATATTCTTTGATAGGACTGCGGGTAACTCGCCACAACGTTTGCAGTGATGACTATCGTCTTATGATTTCGGGATCCAAAAATAGCTGCAGCCAATCCTAACTCGGACATAAATACAAAGTCTAAGAGGCACATCAGCACAGACACAAATCTGTTTTACATTTGCCTCTGTACTCACACAGCAGCCAGCAATAAATAAAGCCTGTCCAGTTTTTTTTGATTGTTTTGTTTTTAGAAATATCCAACCTCTTTTTATATCTTTCTATTATATTTGTGTCCTAAGCGAAGCACGTGTCAGTTAAACAGCGAGCACAGCTTTAGCACTGTGAAAAGACGCAGTACAAAGCCTGTATTCTCCACGCTGAGAGGCATCTACAAAATGGATCTTTAGAGGTATAACTTTTCATGCTTCATTACATTCCAAAATTTGACATAAGGGCTTAATGTAGCATTCACACTGCACCGTGGCGTGCTTCATCCAAACGTCTGTGTTGAGAATTAATGTTTCATTTCTACAACACTGCTCTGTAATGAGACGCGTGGCGATGATGAATTGCTTCTGGCTGGCAAATTATTCATTTGCTTTGAGAGGTTCAAAAACGTGGCTGTGCAAACAGTTGCAGCGCCGTTTAGTCACAGCCATACGTACACAGTCACAGGCCAAATAGCATCTCCGTTTTGTTTTTTTTTTAGGCTTCTGCTGTAGTATCAAAGTATCCAGTGCCATGGGTCCATCTAGTGGTGGCTGAACCACAGGACCAGAAACCAGAGTGTTAAAAGACTGAACTGTGCTGTCTTCATATCATGATATCAGAACAAGTTGATCTCCCGTCTTGGAGACGTTACAAGGCCTGCTACTCAATATAGGATCATTTATGGTTTATTGCTTTTTTTTTTTACTGCATGAATATTTTTTAATCACAAAATGTTACCTGATCATTTGAAAAACAAACATTTTTTTTGTTGTCTCCACGAATTATCTGTCGTGTTTTAATGACTATGGGGGGGAAAAAGAAATATTTGCATGCTGGACTATTATGGAGTGCTAGGGAAGGATGGTTGGATTCTCCAAAGAGGGCACACAGACAGGGACCAGCCCTGCACCGGAGCAACGCTCCTCAGCGAATCAACATCTAAGCCCCGAACTGCAACTGGGAACAATATTTGACCCTCGATAGACGACGCACACCGAAGATAAAAGGCCTCTCTGCTCCACTGTGGCTTCAGACTCCTTCTACATACAGAAAGTGCTTGGACTGAGGAGATTATGGTCTCACAGCTCCCCCATGAGGCCAGTGACTGCTATAGAGATAAACTACGCTGCTGAATGAGTCAATCATCTATTCTTTTGTATTAGAGTCGTTGCAATGCACTGTACAGGTCATATTAGTAATTATTGTTAACATAAACCAGTAACCTCGTTGAGTATAAGGTAGAGAGATATGCTTAACTCGAGTCGATGTACCAAATGTTATCCTCAGCACAAGACACAATGACACTATGTATCGAGTGCATTGTAAATGTAAATTGGCTAAATTTCATTAACCAAAAGCACACTTTATTATGATATGGGCACATTACTATGCATGTAACATATTCAGGGCATTTTGTGCTTTTAGTTTCGCAATCAGCAAGATAACTACTGGCACTCTGAAACACTCAAGCACCTGCTGTCTATTCATGGGTACCAAATAATAAATACTATGGACCTGTCTGCTTTGTGCTGCTGTCTGGGTGTTTTTACTGCCTTGAGCCATAAAGCATAAAAGATTCTGGCAGAGATTTAGAGAAGCAGTTTTCATGCCGTAGATATGTGGAGTCAAAACAGAGCCATACGTTTTTTGTAGTTTTGCCTTTATATACACCAGCGTGGATTTTTAAGTCAAACAGTCAAGATGAGGTTGAAGTGCAGATTTTAAAAGGTGTAACAAAAGTGTTACATTAACTGTTTAGGGATTGGTTTTATACGCACTCCCCATTGCACTGTAGGGGTGTAAGGAAACAAAATCAGGAAGAAAAAAACAAACCATTAGGTCCAAAATGGAAATATGGACCTAATATTATAACATCGATTCATCATCTTGACATCACTGAATTGAATTACTAGCTAAAGGAATCTCAAACAGGCTTTTAAAGAGACACTGCATTGGCATTTTTTAAGCATAACAGTTAGTTTAAGTGGTGTTGTGTAATAATAAAAATAATAATAATAAACTTTATTTATCCCCTCTGGTCCTAAAATTAGTTCATGGGGCCATTAACAGCTGTTGACTGGAAGATCTCAGACGTGTAGGTTCTAGAAGGTCACACAGGGCTACAATTTTATAATGAATTTTAAGATATACCGGTAGCCAACGTAAAGAGATTAAAACTGGAGTACTGTTTCTTTCGTGTAGCAGCAGCATTCTGTACCAACTGGAGACGGTCAAGATCCTTCTTATTCAAACACATAAAAAAGGCTGCTACTATAATCAAGACAAGACGAAAAGAGGAATGAATAATTATCTCTAAATCCGCTTTTGACACCAGAGTTCAAAGCCTAGAAACATTTTTTCCCACATTCATGTGGGGAAAAAAAACAGTTTCTGATTAATCCACAAATGATGCCAAGGTTTCTGAGGTTTGGTTCGACAGAAGAGGGCAATACACCAAGGTATTGCTTGATTTCAGTTCTCTCGGGGAATAAATAGGGTTTCTTTTTTCTTTTTTATCAGAGTTCACCTACAAGTAGTTTTCAGACAGACTCTGGTTAATACTACTAAAACAGTTTATTACACATCAGAAAATTGCCTGATTATTTGGCCTAGGGGCAAAATAAGAGAATAGGTCCCAAGACTGAGCCCTGTGGTACCCCACACAGCAGGCTCTTGGAGACTGGTTTGCAAAAACATTGAATGTTTTGCCAGAAAGTTAGAGGCCCACCTGATAAACCGACTACATCCCAGAGCCTGTTAATCGAAATACTGTGATCATGTTCGTTATGCTAGAAAAACTGGCAAAACAGAGCACTAAATACTGCATCTGGATAGATAACATTCAGTGCAGAAAGTATATGGAGGATCAGCAACAACTGAAAATTATTCATGACTAAAAATGAACGACTGATAGCGATCCATTGTGGGTTTTTCTATGCGAGTATGCTGCTACTGGATTGGCAGTGTTTGGGATCATTGTCATGCTGAAAAATGAAGCTGCTGATAATCAGATGGCATTGCATCGTGCCATCTGAACTGTGCTTTCTGTACACACAGAGGAGAAACCTAGCTTGGTTTCAGCACAGTTCAGATGGCATTAGCATGCACGACACAAGAAATTAGTATGTTTTGGAGCAACGTGCTGCAATCCCAAAATTTTACAGAGTTCTGGCTTTAAAAAAAAAAAAAATATTATTGACGTTTCTCGTATTGTGATCTTATTCCTACCTGCTGCCTAAAACGCTGTTTTACTGCCTGGTGCATTTATTGGAATCGTTTATCTCCTCTGTGTACCACAGTTAACATTCAAATGATGTTTTTGCCACCAGCAAACATTCCTGTCAGGAGACTCTGTTACTCATCCCATTTCTTCAGACTCACTTGTTATTTATCAAGCAGCACCTACTGATCAATAAGATCTCTGTGAGCGAGATCTACTTTTGTTATCTTTGTCTTATACAGAGTCCAGCACTGCCTCTGCTCTCACACACTCAAGAGATGTTTTTCCTCTCTCTCTGTCTGCTCACAGATTCTGAGTCACTCCAGCTTATCGATCCAGTCTAGGAATCCTGTGCTTATCAGAATGACCCATCTCCCTTTTGCAGAAAAACGGCATCAAGCAAAAATATTCCTTTTTTTGTTTATTTTTTTCAGAACAATAAAAATAGTTTAACAAAGACTTCATTCTCTCTTTTTTGACTATTTACAGCAGAAGATGAAAAAAAACCCCAACCAAACAAATTAAAAATAAACAAACAAAACCCCTAAAACGGTCATGTCCATTTCATCTCCTCTTGGCTCTGTTCCCACCCCGATCCTCCCTCTCCACCCTCCTTTGCAGGCTTGACAAGAGAGTACCAGGGCCTATTGCTGTGTCTTTGACGAGGTATACAGGCTATTCAATGATTGGTGACACGTTAAATTACGGAGACATCGCTAACTTTTGCACTCGGGAGCTTCGCCTTTTGTTCAGAACTGCACCGCACTTGGCCCGTTCATGTATACGGTAGGTAACACTTAGCAGATTATGACTGATGACACATGCTTCAACTTACTGGCATGACTGACTTAGGAAGATAAATGACACGATGACCCACTTTTTTTCAGTTTTTCTTTTTTTAACTGTGGAAACAACACGTAACTGAGGAAAACAAGACAACCGACATGTCTCAGATGCATTCCTTGTCCAGTGGAGATAAACTGCTGTGTGTGGAGGGTCCCTGAGGGAAGTGAAGAAAGATGGTTTGAAGCACTTACGCAAGTCATAACAGACACATCTAAGATTAATGGTTAGCTTCAAAAACGGAGCAGCTGTTATTACATTGCAGCGATACTGAATAATCACATGGAAGAAAACAGACCTCTCAGACAGCATGTGCAACCAGCGGACCTAAAAAAGCTTTTGGATACAGTACTTCAAGCTCCTTCTAAATGTCATAAAGCAATTAGGCCCTCTAAAGCACTCAATGGAAATGTCACAAGTAACTTGGATTTACACTCGTCACTTCTTAGTAAATAGCTGTATCCCAGCGGAGTAATGTCACTCTAGTAACGATAATTCCAAATGCAAATCCGAGATGAATCTCACTGTGTTACGATCTCTGTAGGACTGTAGAGTTTTTGCATGCCATGCGTGACAGCAGGTAGAACGAGCATAGAAGAGACAGAGCTGAAGCTTATTATTGCAATGTTTTCCTATAGCATGAGACTGCAGTATTCCCAGGCCCTACTGGCAGTCGGGATCCACGTGTGTTACTCTGCCAACTGAGAACAATCACATAAAATCAGGGCTGAGTGGCTGAACAATCAACAGCAGATGAAGTGAAAAGATGCCTGAGTAGTTGTGGCTATTATGCACCTGATCAGGACAGAGGTATCAATACAGTCTGAGCAAACGCAAGAAGTCATACCATCAAACTTTAAAACGTAGAAATATTATACAACAGAGAAAATATGCAACAAAAAAAAGTGAGCTAAATCATCCATTTGAGATCAGAGAGGCAGAGGAAGAAGGGAGCAAAAACAGGTTGAGGGCCAGAAGCAGAAAACCTGTGTCCATACCGGGGTATTGTTACAGTAGTCCAGAGGTCTGCATGTAATAGTGGTGAGTTTGAGCACCATCTCTATGGCTGCAGGTCAGAGGGTCACTGGTCCAATCAGGTTGGAGGGTCATGGCTGTCAGAGCTGATTTCCAGTGCAGAGCGGCAGGCTGGCACAGTGATGAGGATAATGACGTCTTAGTGTCACATCGGATCACACAGCAGACACACAGTCGCAGAGCAGGAGTGGGCAGGCTGGGCCGCAGGGGCCCCAAATGCACCCGTTGGGCACAAACAGTCCAAAGGCCTGGCCTTTAGTGTTCCCATAGTTCTGAGAGGAGCTCCAGCACAGTGCAGAAAGGATAAAATGAAGCCGGATACTCACATTTCAAATGTTCACAAGGGGTCGATATATACTGTCAAGGGAGCAGTTGCTTCAATTAAGCCACATGGCTGGGAGAAGTGATGGATGCCTATTCATCCGTTTCAGTCAGTTATTTCAGGCCCAAATCAGGAGGGACATGAAGGCTCATTAGTTTTTGAGGGTTAAAATCCTCTTCTTCACTGGTCACCCCCCAGCCCTGGGCCACATGCCAATGTGCTGAGTGCTCCTATGTAACACAGACAATAACAGTAAGCCTCACGCATAATATGTCTGAGCAAGAGTTAAGATCTGCAGCCATGCTAGCAGCTTTTCAAGTTTAAACTAGCTTAGCACAAATACAACAGGAGCAGGGCTGTCAAAACATCAGATTTCTACAAAAAAAATTGTCACGGCCATAATAATTGATAGCGGATATCTATAATAAAAAAGAAACATCAAATCTTAGTTATGGAGGTACCCAAATCATAACAACATTTTTTTGCTATACGCTAATAAGGTGAAGTCCACAGAAAACCTTCAAAAATTACAACCCCAATTCTAAAAAGTTGAGACAAAATGTAAATAAAAACAGAATGCAATTATTTGCAAATCTCATAAACCTATATTTTATTTACAATAGAACACACAGAACATGGGACATCTTACTCTTTCAAGAAAATTCTTTGCTCATTTTGAAAAGCAAAAAAGTTGGGATGGAAGCAACAAAAGGCTGCAAAAATAATTGGTACTATAAAGAAACGGCGACCAATTAGATTCAATGGCAACAGGTCAGTAACATGATTGGGCATAAAAAGAGCATGTTAGAGAGGCAGAGTTCCTCAGAAGTAAAGGTGGGAGAAGTTCACCACTCTGCAAAAAATGATCTACAAGTGAAGATAAAGCATTTCATCATCTGTAATATTTAATATTATCAAAACATTCTGATAATCTGTAGATATCCTCCAAGATTTCAGTATTGGATGCCTGTAACCTTCAGGCACTCAGACAGGCATGACTGTCATGGAAATCACTGCACAAGCTCAGAAACACATATAGAAATCAACTGTTTAGTGTTCAGATGAACAGAAATTTGAATTTCATTTTGGAAAACATAGATGCCGCCTCCTCTCTTCTAAAGAGCGCGGCGTTCTAAACCCTGCTGCTCTGATGGTATGGGGCTGCATTAGTGCCTATGTAACACACCTGGAAAAACATCAGCAATGACATATAAAAGTTTTAGAGCAACATATACTCCCATTCAAACAACATGTTTTCAGGGAAGAGCTTTTTTCAGCAAGACAATGCTAAGCCATACAGAATCTATTACAACGGCATGGCGTGTTAGCCAAAGAGTCCAGGTGCTGCCTGCAGCTCTGACCTTTCTGAAAACACGGGTTTATGAGATTTGCAAATCATTTCAATCCATTTTTATTTACATATTTCAGAGTGTCCCAGTTTCTTAGCAATTGTGGTTTTACGATTTCCGATGTCTGTGAAGGTTCTCAGTCATCCAGGTCATCGTAGTCAAAGGAGCTTGCAAAGAAAAGCGTCTGGACTTCTTTAAGTTGCTTGAAGACGTT